AGCACCGCCCAATCCTACCAATCAACATCGTGATTCTCGTAATCTGGCAGGCTATCATTACCCGAGGGAATATTAAGATAATGGCAACCGACCTCATTAACCAATCCAAGGAAAGATCAATGGCGCATCGTCCGAGTTTGACACTGTAGTTGATTTGATTAACATGACATAATCCTGGCAAAAGAAAATGGGGTCTCCTATAAATAAAGGTCAAAAGGGGCTAATTAAGGGGAGGGGGGAAAAAAGGCCTTCCTTGGACAGAATAAAGAATCTCATTTCCCTTAAAGTTGGCCGAAAAAGAGGGTCTATCTTGGAAAAAAGGCCTCATCATTTCATAAATACGCAACTAAAACAAAGCCATGAGCCACAGTTCCACTCCGAGAAGTCAGTCTCACACTCGCCCAAATGAAACTAACGCCCTACACAGTTCCCCATGAAGGCAAGACCAAAATGGGGTGAGCACCCCACAAATAGCTGCAATGAGGGAAGCCGTTGAAAGGTTGACAAATGCAGCTAATCGATTGGAACGAAAAAAAGTCCCCACATCCCCGCCAGATACCGAGGTGGAATCTCTGATTAGGGTGAGGGCCAGACAACTCTCCACTAAAAGATCCCTCCACTTTTCCAAAGCAGAATCCTCTAAAAGTCGCATTGACGAAGTGAGGAGCTAAGTCCCGATGATGGAACCAATCGCCAGGAAGGCCAGCAATGTGTTTGACAGATTAGGTTACCTACACTCGCTAACCCCTACAAGAGAACATGCCAGACCCGACCTAAAGCGCTCGCTTGAATAAGCAAGGTCTGAAATAAGCGCCCTGAAAAAGAGCATCGCCGACCTTGAAGCTAAAAACAAAGGAGGGAGAGATGAATACCTTACCAAACTTCACTCTCCCTTTATAGAAGACATCATCGTCGAGCCCTTCCCTGAAAAATTAAAGATACCCCAGATGACTACATATGAAGGGAAAGGAGATCTCCTTAGCCACCTGGACAAATACACCTTGTGGATGAAATTATAAGGGGCAAGTAATGCTATCATATGCTGAGCTTTCCCGTTGACCCTAGGAGACAAAGCTTAAAGATAGTTTAGGAGGTTGCACCTAAGGTCCATAAAAATTTGGAACGACCTAGCAACGACGTTTTTAGCCCAATTTATGGGCTCAAAGGCCAAA